ATCTGGTGGAGTATCTACTGAGGCTAGAGCAACTGATGGCATCAACACCATTATTATTACTGAAGACGAATTGTCTACTGCTGCTACCACTAAAGATGAGTACACAACTATTTCTCTAACTGAGAGAGTATCGACTGAGACTACAGCAATTGATGGCATCACCACCATCATATTTATTGACGTCAAATCATCTACTGTTGCTACCATTAAAGATGAGTTCACAACTATTTCACTAACTGAAGGAGTAACGACTGAGTCTACACCAATTGATGGCATCACCACCATCATAGTTACTGGTGATGAATCATCTACTCCTGCTACCACTAAAGATGAGTTCACAAATATCTCAGGAACTGGTGGAGTATCTACTGAGGTTGCAGCAACTGATGGCATCAACACCATTATTATTACTGAAGACGAATTGTCTACTGCTGCTACCACTAAAGATGAGTACACAACTATTTCACTAAGTGAGAGAGTATCTACTGAGGCTACACCATCTGATGGCATCACTACCATCATAGTTACTGATGATGAATCATCTACTCCTGCAACCCCTAAAGACGTGTTCACAACTATCTCACCAACTGAGGAAGTATCTACTGAAGACACCCCCAACTGATGGAATCATCCCCCCCATATATACTGACGACGAATCATCTACTGCTGCCCCCCACTAAAGATGAGTTCACAACTATCTCAGTGACTGAGGGAGTATCTACTGAAGCAACAGCAACTGATGGCTTCATCACCATCATATACACTGATGGTGAATCGTCTACTGCTGCTACCACTAAAGATGAGTACACAACTATTTTACTAACTGAGATAGTATCTACTGAGACTAAACCAATTGATGGCATCACCACCATCATAGTTACTGGTGATGAATCATCTACTCCTGCTATCACTAAAGATGAGTTCACAACTATCTCAGTAACTAATGGAGTATCTACTGAATCCACAGCAACAGATGGCATCAACTCCATTATTATTAGTGAAGACGAATTGTCTACTGCTGCTTCCACTAAAGATGAGTACACAACTATTTCACTAACTGAGGGAGTAACGACTCAGTCTACACCAATTGATGGCATCACCTCCATCATAGTTACTGATGATGAATCATCTACTCCTGCTACCACTAAAGATGAATTCACAACAATCTCAGTAACAGATGGAGTATCTAATGAATCCACAGCAACGGGTGGCATCAACACCATTATTGTTACTGAAGACGTATTGTCTACTGCTACTACCACTAAACGTGAGTACACAACTATTTCACTAACTGAGGGAGTAACTACTGAGGCTACAGAAACTGATGGCATCACCACCATCATATATACTGACGACGAATCATCGACTGTTGCTACCACTAAAGATGAGTCCACAACTATCTCAGTAACTGATGGAGTATCTACTAAATCCACAGCAACAGATGGCATCAACACCATTACTATTACTGAAGACGAATTGTCTACTGCTGCTACAACTAAAGATGAGTTCACAACTATTTCACTAACTAAGGGAGTATCGACTGAGTCTACACCAATTGATGGCATCACCACCATCATAGTTACTGATGATGAATCATCTACTCCTGCTACCACTAAAGATGAATTCACAACTATCTCAGTAACTGAGGGAGTTTCTACTGAATCCACAGCAACAGATGGCATCAACACCACTATTGTTACTGAAGACGAACTGTCTACTGCTGCAACCACTAAAGATGAGTACACAACTATTTCACTAACTGAGAGAGTATCTAATGAAGCTACACCAACTGATGGCATCACCACCATCATAGTTACTGATGACGAATCATCTACTCCTGATACCACTAAAGACGAGTTCACAACTATCTCAGTAACTGAGGGAGTATCTACTGAAGCAACAGCAACTGATGGCATCATCACCATCATATATACTGACGACGAATCGTCTACAGCTGCTACCACTAAAGATGAGATCACAACTATTTCACTAACTGAGAGAATATCTACTGATGGCACAATCACCATTATATACACTGACGACGAATCTTCTACTGGTGGTACCACTAAAGATGAGTTCGCAACTATTTCACTAACTGAGAGAGTATCTACTGAGGCTACACCAATTGATGGCATCACCACCATCACAGGTACTGATGATGAATCATCTACTCCTGCTATCACTAAAGATGCGTTCACAACTATCACAGTAACTGATGGAGTATCTACCGAATCCACAGGAGCAGATGGCATCAACACCATTATTGTTACTGAAGACGAATTGTCTACTGCTGCTGCCACTAAAGATGAGTACACAACTAATTCACTAACTGAGAAAGTATCTACTGAGGCTACACCAATTGATGACATCATCACCATTATATATACTGACGACGAATCATCTACGCTTGCTACCACTAAAGATGAATTCACAACTATCCCAGTAACTGAGAGAGTATCTACTGAGGCTACACCAATTGGTGGCATCACCACCATCTTATATACTGACGATGAATCATCAACACCTGCTACCAGTAAAGATGAGTTCACAAATATCTCAGGAACTGATGGAGTATCTACTGAGGCTACAGCAACTTATGGCATCACTACCATCATATATACTGACGACGAATCATCTACTCCTGCTACCACTAAAGCTGATATCACAACTATTTCACTAACTGAGAGAGTATCTACTGAGGCTACATCAATTGATGGCATCACCACCATCATAGTTACTGGTGATGAATCATCTACTCCTGCTACCACTAAAGCTGAGTTCACAACTATCTCAGTTACTGATGGAGTATCTACTGAATCCACAGCAACAGATGGCATAAACACCATTATTATTACTGAAGACGAATTGTCTACTGCTGCTACCACTAAAGATGAGTACACAACTATTTCACTAAGTGAGAGTGTATCTACTGAGGCTACGCCAACTGATGGCATCACCACCATCATAGTTTCTGATGATGAATCATCTACTACTGCTGCTACCACTAAAGACGTGTTCACAACTATTTTACTAACTGAAGGAGTAACGACTGAGTCTACACCAATTGATGGCATCACCACCATCATAGTTACTGATGATGAATCATCTACTCCTGCTACCACTAACGACGAGTTCACAAATATCTCAGGAACTGGTGGAGTATCTACTGAGGTTACAGCAACTGATGGTATCACCACCATCATATATATTGACGACGAGTCATCTACTACAGCTACCACTAAAGATGAGTTCACAACTATCGCAGTAACTGAGGGAGTATCTACTGAGGCTACAGCATCTTATGGCATCACTACCATCATATATACTGACGACGAATCATCTACTCCTGCTACCACTAAAGCTGAGTTCACAACTATCTCAGTAACTGATGGAGTATCTACTGAATCCACAGCAACAGATGGCATCAACACCATTATTATTACTGAAGACGAATTGTCTACAGCTGCTACCATTAAAGATGAGTTCACAACTATTTCACTAAATGAGGGAGTATCGACTGAGACTACAGCAATTGATGGCATCACCACCATCATATTTATTGACGATGAATCATCTACTGCTGCTACCATTAAAGATGAGTTCACAACTATTTCACTAACTGAAGGAGTAACGACTGAGTCTACACCAATTGATGGCATCACCACCATCATAGTTACTGATGATGAATCATCTACTCCTGCTACCACTAAAGATGAGTTCACAAATATCTCAGGAACTGGTGGAGCATCTACTGAGGTTAGAGCTACTGATGGCATCAACACCATTATTATTACTGAAGACGAATTGTCTACTGCTGCTTCCACTAAAGATGAGTACACAACTATTTCACTAAGTGAGAGAGTATCTACTGAGGCTACACCAACTGATGGCATCACCACCATCATAGTTACTGATGATGAATCATCTACTCCTGCTACCACTAAAGACGTGTTCACAACTATTTCACTAACTGAAGGAGTAACGACTGAGTCTACACCAATTGATGGCATCACCACCATCATAGTTACTGATGATGAATCATCTACTCTTGCTACCACTAAAGATGAGTTCACAAATATCTCAGGAACTGGTGGAGTATCTACTGAAGTTAGAGCAACTGATGGTATCACCACCATCATATATATTGACGACGAGTCATCTACTCTTGCTACCACTAAATATGAGTTCACAACTATCGCAGTAACTGAGGGAGTATCTACTGAGGCTACAGCAACTTATGGCATCACTACCATCATATATACTGACGACGAATCATCTACTCCTGCTACCACTAAAGCTGAGTTCACAACTATCTCAGTAACTGATGGAGTATCTACTGAATCCACAGCAACAGATGGCATCAACACCATTATTATTACTGAAGACGAATTGTCTACTGCTGCTACCACTAAAGATGAGTACACAACTATTTCACTAACTGAGGGAGTATCGACTGAGGCTACACCAATTGATGGCATCACCACCATCATAGTTACTGGTGATGAATCATCTACTTCTGCTACCACTGAAGATGAGTTCACAACTATCTCAGTAACTGATGGAGTATCTACTGAATCCACAGCAACAGATGGCATAAACACCATTATTATTACTGAAGACGAATTGTCTACTGCTGCTACCACTAAAGTTGAGTACACAACTATCTCAGTAACTGATGGAGTATCTACTGAATCC